GGCTCGAGCTCTTTTGCCATGGGGCACGGGCTAGAGACTGTCCAGGTGTTCCTCTTGAAGAAAGAAGCAAGTCGCGATGCGATGATGCCACATGGGTTTGCGGATCTACCTCTCATGTCAGCGCTCGACACAATAGAGCAGAAGGTAACGGTTTTGACTTACTTTTGAATGACGGAAACTTTGGTCGCGAGCGCAGCAGCCAGGTCCTTGGCAAGATGAGGACGATTTCGTGTTTGTTGTAAATGCATGATGCAGGCCTCAATAACTTCGTCGTTGACTACGCCCAGGTCGACAGTCGGTGGCTCGCGCAAGAAGGTAAGATCTATGTCATCTGACTCTATCGAGGCCTGTAGGGCGAACGCGGGTTCGGATACGAGGGAATTCGTCGACGAGATGGAATCGGTATGGGATCGCTTTGTCTTCTTGCTTGGGCGGGACGAGTCCTCCTCGGATGCCCTCTTAGGTGTTGCCATGGTCGTAGTCGATGGGTTTGCGTTATGGCTATTCTTGCTGTGGGTATTGCTTGTGGTCGATGATCGCTGAACAGGGACGTGTATTCCAAGAGAAGGCAGAGACAGTGACTTGCGACGAGTGTTGTAAGGCATGATGGGCAAGCGTTCGATTTATCAGAGCACGGGACAGACGGGAAATTTAGGGGAGTTTATGCAAGAGGGCCTATGAATAGAGTATGTGATACTGGGTAGATCTCTAGTATGGTCGCCGGTCGCATGAATCAAGCTAGCGACATGGATCTGGTTCCGCAGGATCGGATTGGAGAGGCAGAAGCGATGATGTAAAGAGAGACAGACACAGGGGATGGGGAAAGGCGGTAGCGGTGATGATGTAGATGGGTATGGGTTAGGGAGACTCGATCTCCAAGCACAGACTGCATGCGACTATTATCGGGGGTTGCTACAGGATGCAGGCGAGGTTGGATCGAAGTTGGAGAAGGAAAGGCGGTGGAGGGGGATGTCTCGCCAGGGCGACAACGAGGAAGACGACGGTGAAGGGGGAGACACAGGGAGATGGGCAGAGGATGCGATGGGATGCGATGGGATGGACTGCGAGCGAGTGTGAGCGTGAGGCGAAAGTATCCGGCGGCTCATGTTACGAGCAGCACTCGTCGCTATTCCCTCACCACACCCTTCTTTTCTCTTGCTTGTCCCAGAGGCTAGCAGCAAAATGCGTCGTGCAGATGTGAGAGAGGCGAGTCGGGAGCTGTCGAGAGACATGCAAACACACCGACTAACTCGCCTGAGCGGTTGTACTCGTACCCGTCCATGCGCTACTACGAGCTGTACTAGCATTACACATGGTTTGCCATTACACCCACTTTCTCTGTCCTCTTCACAGGGAACCAGCTTGGAGCTTGTGATGCCCAGTGCGTCAGGTTGGTGTCAGAACAGAAGAAAAAGTCGACGGAGAAGGGAAGAAAAAAACAATTTTGCAAGGGGGGTGTGGGGGACTGCCATCTAGTGGGCCTCGACGAAACCTGCATCATCCGTATCTTTTGCGTGAGCCAGCGCGGCAAAAGCACCACTCTCGACAAGTACAGCCGCCTTCCAGCCCCCCTGCTAGATGGCTGGGACTGCCCTTGCTAGCCGGTTGCCCATCGAGCCCGTCTCGCCCGTCCGAGAGCAAGTGTCCAATGAGACGCGACATTGTTTTTTTTTGGTTGTGGATATCGCCTGTGTGTTCAGGATCCAAATGGCAAATAGTCGCTCGTGCCCCATCGCTTCCGTTCGTCTTTCTCCTCTTGTGAGGCAAGCTGGCGAGGCTGGCAGGCCGTCGAGGCAATCCGGACAAATTGAGGGTAGTCGACAAATTGATTTCCACACTGGTGGGCTCTGCGAGGATGAAGTGGAACTTACTCTCTTTTCTTCAGGGTCTTGTCCGTGCGCATGAATTGTGACATGTTTTATAATTTTGTTTGCAAGTGCGCTTTGCGACGGCCGCGGAGACAATGGGCCAACGGAAAGGGATAGAGCAGCAAGATGTCCCTATCGGGTGCCACTTCGAATACGTCTGTCTGTACAAGTAGACTTGTTTGTGTACATTGCTCGGGGTCAGATTGGCAAGACATCTTCTGCACCGGCCTGGGCGTCTTGGCTTGTGGCTGCCTCGACTCATGCGCCGCATACCGTTTTGCTTACAGACTACATGGCTTCGGCTCCAACATGTCATCGACTTGATCGAGCGGCAGCAGGCAGCAGACAGGCTCGACAGGCTCGACAGGCTTCGGCTGGAAAGGCGACAGAAAGGCGGTAAAGGATTGCGAACGAGGACGAGGAGAAGAAGAGGCGATGGTGCATACAGAGTGCATGGTGCATAGTGCATGCATGCCAGCGAGTGAGCATCCGTCTGGAAAGGCAAAGGCTGATTCTTTCCTGCAGCGTGCATATGCGCCTGTGGTCGGATGTTTTGGATCTTTCTGATATGCAGCCGTCTGGCGGTGCTCTGATTGGCACACGACGGCTTCGTCCTCCAGAACAGGAAACGATGCATGGACCCACGGTTTCAAGGTCGGGCACCTCAGCCCGAATCTCTATCCTCGCAGTCGAGAGACTGGCGAGACTGGCGAGACTGGCACCGTTGCTTCGAACACCCTCTGCACACCGACTATCGATAGCATTACCCTCCTGTTACATCATGATGAGCGAACTCTCCAATCCGTCCAAGAGGGTGATGTCCAGAGGCATATATACCTGGCCTCGAATACGGCAGTACTCTGTTCGGAATTAGCAGCCGCAAGATCCCAACCGATTATCAATCTGAAGACGACGAGGTCGCCTACTGTGACGCTGAGCCAGACTGGAGCCAGACTGGAGCCAGACTGGAGCCAGACAAACAGAGAGCAAATAATACGTGGTAGACACGCTCGACACGTACGTAGGTAATACTGTCACAGGGGAGAAGAAAAAAAGGGTCGAGATCTTCGTTGCGGGGTTGACAGGGATGAGCTTGTCTCGCAGTGTGTCTCTCACCTCAAACAAGCCCGGACAAGCCTCTCTCTCTCTTCCCTCGTTTTCTTCTCTCTGCGTTCCCGTCTTTTTGTGGTATCAAGTTGTCGAGCTGTGTTTTTTTCTTGTTGCTTCTCGTTTTCATATCTTGGCGCATTTCTCGGTCTTCGGGTGAGCATGCCGTCGTAGTCGAACGGCCCCCTTGTTTGTCACGCGAGCGCACCTCCGAATTATAGTGACAGATCAGTACCGGTCAAGGTATTCGATGTCACGCAGGATTCCAAGGCGCTGCCGCCGCGCCGCCGTACAGACCAATCGTCTTGTCGCAATTTGAGACCCCGGGTTTACAATACAGCCGTGCTGAGATTTGGTCCGGCGTTCGTTGCCATCATACCATCACTCATGATACCTGCCGCCCTTTGCGTGTATCTTTACGTACAGTGCCCTTCGTAGAAATAAGGTGCCAAAGCAACGCTACTCGTAGATATTTGGCATGCCGCGTTGACCCTGCAGTTTTGCTGAAGAACTGGCCAATGCGGCTAGATCTGCTGGGTCGGATCAAATTGTTCAGATCTGCTGATGACAGGCTCGACAGGTGCCCAACCTCACCAAGCTTCATCTTGCATCGCCCAAAGATCTGCTCGTCTGGGTCTCGCAGTCTGACGACGATGTCACCAAGCGGCCCCGCAGGGTCTGGGTCCTCTAGGCTCTGCTGGGTCTTTGTAACGTAATAAGAAGGGTCCACTAGGACTGAAGAGGAATACAGCCGGAAGCTTGCCGCGGGCCACCAAATCAGCCCAAGGAAGCGCCTTCTCTGCGCTTTCACGTCTTCTTGGGATTTTGGCCCGTCGAGACTCGAGACTGTCCGAATGAAGCCTGCTCGCCTGGTCAGAGGCCTGGTCGTCTGGCCGTCTAATAAGTGCTGGGTTCGGTTGTCGCAACGGGCTATCCGAGTTGACGTCGTAGGCGGTCTCGGCGGTCAAGCGGCGCATTATGCCTCGTTCGACCCTTATTGCATGTCGGTCATGGTCGTCAAGCGAGCAATCGTGATCACCGAGGGGAGATCCGAGGAGCATGACTTGCGTGACGCAGTAGGCCATAGTCTCTCCCCGTCGATCTCTTCGCAGGGCATGGGCAATTCCTCAGGCTGCTCAAGGCTACCGATAGCTAGCCCCTGAGCAGAGCCTGAGAGCTCCGTCGAGTCAGTGCCCCGGCACCTTCGAGATTGGTGGCTCGGGTGGAACGAGGCATGAAAGGCATGAAAGCCAAACGCTTGACTCGATCATTCGAGGCTGACGTCGTCGGCCAGCCTGGCCCAAACTCATTTAAGACTCCAAGCTGTGAATGAGTTAAAACGAGCAATGGGTCGCATAGTGTGACAGTGGTCAGCACTGTAGGAGCGCTACTGCACTCCAGCCGAGAAATATGCACATCAGCGGCGCTCTCCCACGTGCAGATGAACACTGTACCGGAGGACATCTCTATGGCAACATCGGCTTTTATCAACCGCCCGAGGCCACGATCTCTTGTAACCCGACTTTGGCCAGTATCCTCAGCTAGCATAGCCAGATCCAATTGCATCTCATCCCGTGACCTTTCAGTCATGATTCGATGTTGGTTTTCGCAAATGCCAACCTCGCGCCGAGATATATATACGCACGTGATCAGCAAATCAAATGGATGTGAAAGTTGCTATGGTCACTGGAGACTAAACACAGATCCATTATCGACACAATACTTCATTATGCCACTTAGAGTGAACCCGATCCGCAATACCATTTGGCATTTCACATACTGAAGCTAAATGTGCCCTCGGTTGAGAAACCACAATAGCCTTAGATGCGTTGCACAATGTAAATGTAGTAAAAAGGGATAAGGGGATTCAATATGCTCTTCAACCCATTAGAAAAGAGACACTTATTGTACATGCGCCTATGCCTTGATTCCGTCTGCTATCGACTCTCACTCACGCTATTGTTTGCAATGCTCTCGCGCCACCACACCACCCGATAACAAGTGATCAAAATGCAAAACGAAGGTCTCCCCCGGACAGGCTTGAACTGTCAACCTCTCGATTGCCTGCTACTCACAGTACCAGCGTTGTACTGGCAGCAGAAGCTGATAACAGTCGAACGCGCTAGCCAATTGCGCCACGGAGGACTTGAATGATGGTTGAGGTGATTTCCGTTTCCAGCGATCCAAGAGAAGGACCGATTAGTCACTGAATACGAAAACCTCGACTAGTGTCATCGTCAATCCGAGTGAGAGAGATCAAGCAGCCAAAATGTCCTCTGCTAATATAAGTTTTGGTAACGGTCCGGATAATTACATACGACCATAGGATCCAGAAGACACGGCATCCCGTCCGCTCTGCCCGAGTTAAGCTTGATATCGCTGGTTTAGTAGTTGGGTCGGTGACGACCAGCGAATACCCAGTGTTGTATGTATGAATGCACATGATTTGGCGCATTTTTGATCTTGTCAACGTCGCTTTTCTCACTATGATAGAGAAGGGGGAAAAGGGATGAGTATACAAGAGCATGAAATGTAACAGAACATTACTGTTATCTGAATAATAGAAAATCTTTCTCACACTGCTGTTAGATCCAGTCATGCAATAATCCAGAGATTCAATATTGGTCATTCCATAGCACGTCCTACAAGCCACTCAGGCGCATCATGTATTCTCTGCTAAAGTCAAGGCTCATTATGACAGCTGAATCGTTCCGTTCGTATGCTCGTCTGGACCCTAGAGGCATGCCACTTCCAGTGAACCCTCATCCCTGATGTGGTTTCACTACCTGACACTCCGATAAATGCAATATACGCATCTCATATATAGAGGATGTCGACAATAACATATCTTATCGTAGCCTTTGACATGTGGTGACCAAATCTGTCTCTGCAGCAATACCGTCTTCAAGTGCAAGCTGGTTCCTTAACGTGGCCTTGACTTATTGTCCGTGCTGCTTGTATGTATAGTTCAGGTAGTAGCAAGATGCAGAGGACCCGACCAAGCTCTCAGAGCTTTGCCCTTTCCCATGAGGAAGATGATGAGCAGAAAGGCTGCAGCACAGACAGCTGCTTGGATTCCGAAGCTGACCTCAATACCCTGGGCATTTGCCCAAGCAACCTAGAAATAGCTTATGATGAAGCCTCCGGTAGTCCGTGAGAAGTTGACCCAGGCAGAGACTTCCCCAGACGCCTCTGGGTAGCAGTCTAGGTTATATGAGGAGACAGCAACAGTGGTGATCATAATGCCATAGACATAGAGACCCCAGAACAAGGCGGTGACTAAATAGTGCCATTGACGCTCAAGGCTTTGTCCTAGCAGGACCAAACCTATAAGCATGAACGGAAGCGCGATGGCGATGGCACGCAGTCTCACTTCCGGCTCGAAGCGACCATGGTGTGCTCTGATATACTGCTTCGCGAGAATGTCGTGGAGCCAGTGGCCACTGATCTCACCTAGGATGACGGCGATGACAGGTGTGAAGTAGAAGAAACCGATTGACTTCACGCCAAAGCCATACACAGGCTGTAGGAAGATTGAGAGTGTTGTATTGATGCCGACCACCCATGCAAATGTCTATTGATTCCAGCATACTGGTTAGATTGGATATGATCCTAAACTGCCTTGTGATAGTTCACTTACCAAGAAGTAGTAAGTGCACGAGATCAAGACGGTAGGTTTGGATATTGCATGGACAGGTCTCATGAAAGCTTGCCAGAACGTGTTTCGTCGCTTTCTCGTCCTCCACTATCATGCAATCGGGGTTCAGTCATTACTGGTTTTTGGAGATTCTCTTGATATCGATGGGCAATAGTTGATTGTATTGGGAATAGATCAAGGAATCTGAGGCCCATAACTCGCCCCAAGAGGAAAGAAAAACACGGAATGCTTACCTGGGAAATCCCCAGAAGGCTCTGAGGCTCAGTTCCACGAGGAGGCTGCTGTTCCATGGGGATTCTGCGATCGTAGTAGGTCTCCTTGACGAAGAACACCGTCAAGACGAGTGCCAAGGCTGTCTCGGCTGTGTAGACCCAGAAGGGAGTTGGCCACGGTTGAGTTGCGATCTGAAAAGCTGCCAGAAGCGGGCCAAGATAGGGACTAAGGACGAAGAACGACCTATGAAGAGGATCAACGTTACACCATACCAAGTTTCCAGCTAAGAGTTACACTTACACCCATATATTGATCTTGCGGGCACGTTCATGAAAGAAGAACAGGTCCTGGATAAAGATCAAGCCATTGACCTGAGCTACTGTCGAGAAGAACCCGTTGAGGATTCGAGCTACCTCAAAAGACTCGAAAGTCTGTGCTCCTGCGCACCATGCAGCAGTGGCAAGGGCGAATAGGAGGAACCAGAACAGAACAGGTAGGCGTCCGAAGTAAGCACTCAGAACGACGACTATGATAAGAAACATCAGCGTCTAGTGCATGTTTCATAGACAATACAAAATACTCACCAGGGATACCACCCACGCCAAGCATAAAGACTATGCGACAGTCAGCCCTTACAATATGACACCAATTATGTGGACGACAAAGGAGCCAACGCGTACCATTACCAGCCTGTGAATGATTGACCTCTGCCTGGGACATGTTCCACTCGCTAATGATTGGTTAGTAGGATTTGATCAATAGACATATGGCAGCGACGTCATAGAAGGATATTCCTTGATGCTACTTACGCAGCTTGGGGGATCAGAGTAACAGCACCTGTGGCTGAGCCGTAGTCAGGGAGGAAAGCGGCAAAGGCAATGACAAAAAGAATGACTGAGGTACTCGGTATTAGCGACTGCCATCCCCCAAAAACATATCTTTCTGGGCTACTTACCGTTCTTTCGGAATTGAGGCCAGTTCAAAGGATCACCTGGGTCGTCGCTGGGCTATCACACCCGAAAGTCAGCTATTACTCTCTTTGGTATATTATAAGGATCAACATGTAGTTCCTCACTGACTTGTGAGACGGGCTCTGAAGACACGAAGAGTAGGAGGGCCAGAGTTTTGTATTATACCTGCGGGATCAGTCTAGTAAGACCATCGGTAGCCAGTTTCGAGGCATCTCCATCGTGAGTGCTAACCTCAACTTCGTAGCTGCTGAGATCAATGTCCTGGTCCTCGGTGGGTTGAGTGTTGGCTCTGAAGTGTGCATTCATAGCACTCTTCATTTTGGAAGCCATGTGGCTGATGTGGTTGCAGATGGTTTGGACTTGCAAAAGGAAGCGATAAGTGATGGTGAGACGGAAGTTGGAGATGAGGTGGGTGAAGACATAGAAACTGGACGCCATGATGACGGTTACATCGGATGCAGGCCTAAGGTAGTGCTGATTCGCCGATGAGGCGAGATTGGATGCAGATGCACGAATAACCAATTACAAATCTTGGGGTATGACGGCGATGATTTGTATCCCACTTGTGGTCGTTGCAGGTCAATCCAGGGATCGCCGAGCAACACCCAGACACGTCAATCGCCAAGCAGGTACGTTATTGACAATGGGATTGACTACAGGATAATCATCTGACGCGGCTTCTAGGTTGTTTTTAGATCTGTCATCTGAATGGACCATGCAAGTAGATTCGAATGGCTGTTTAACTAAGAACGGGATTTTAAACATTATAAACAGATCGCTAGGCAGGTTGTTATTGGTTATGTAACAAAGTCTTAAAAAGGAAACTTGCAAACAGATATTGCATAAACAAGACATTGTAAAATCGTTGCTAAGCTGCTTGGTGCACATTAGACGTACTTTCTAACCATTCTTTAACCAAGGGACATAGATGGGCAATGTTGATCAGACACTGTCAGGCCTAAGGAACACAGGTCGAAGGCAGGAGCGTTTCTGAACCAACAACACCTATCCGCCGCTCTTTCCATAATAAGCTGAGATCATAAGAAAAGCAAAGAGTCAGAACTACATGTGGCTTATTGGTTCGGCTATAGTACATTGCCATCCTTAATGTGTATGACTCCAAATGTGATGTAGTCTCCTCTGGAGCTTACCTCAACTGTCTTGTCTTATGGAGCCACAATTATAAAGAAAAGCTACAGAGAGACAAATAGCAAGAAGACACGATTGGAAGCAAAATCTGCGGACTTCAGAAGCAGTAGTTTTCGACTTCCAATGAGCAAAACATCAGTTACTTGTCATTCTGATTCTAGGGTGATCACATACCAAGTCACATCCGAACATTCTTACGCGACTACCTCAGTCTATTCAGGTGTGGTGATAAATACAGGTAGTAGGAAAGGAATTGCATAGCCAGAGGGTGTGTGTTGCAACAGTGAAATATTATGCTCGATAATTGGCAGCTCATTTGAGCTAGAAGTAACGACAAAGGCGTTTGGTGTAATTGGCTTTCCGTTAGAAGATATATCACTCAACAACAATGCTTGGAGCTATATTGCCTGGGTGCCAACTCATTGCGATGAGTTATGAGTTTGTATAGTCAAATAGCATGAGTACGGCTGCAAGGCAGGTTATATCATCTGAGAAGCAAGAAAGGCTCAAAACTCGCTACGCTTCGATCCTGGCAAAATTGTGGAGTATGAGAAAGATGTCTGATTTGGGTCCTGGAGTCTTTTTACCACGCATGAGGACTGACCACCATGCGCCAGCTTAGGGACAGAAGGTACAACCAAGTCTAGGTCTAAGGGCCTGTCATGGCAAGGGACAATTCAGCGCAACCTTCTACAATATCAACGAAAGAACCCGCAGAAACAGTTGTGACTAATATGAGGAATATCATAAATAGTATGGGGGTGGAGGATAGGCGCGTGCAGCATTATCCTGCAGCATGTTCCTCTGGTTGAAGCCTCATTAATACACGTGTTAAGACCGTCACCGGACGACAACTACATAGTTCATTAATCTGCGGCTACAATCACATCACCTACAAAACTAATTCCATGACGAGAACTACTTTGTTAGTTGGCAGACGCTGTTTATATCCCCGCGTCATATTGAGGACTTGCGCATAGGTCTTAGTGCCAATTAAGATTTGACAGACGATCAGCTGCATACCTCAGGAAAGCCAACTTGAACCGGCGTTACGTCGAGATAGTTAGAAGTGTGAAATACAGACTCATGCAATCTGGAGTGGCATGGATTCATCCGTGGTGTGGAAAGTCCAAGGAAGGCTGCAAGACTACCTG